ATAGGATTTGCTGGATGGATTTGATCAAGAAGCTGCTGCTGCAGTTATGGCACGCCTGGTTTCATTTAACATGGAATCTGAGGTACTTGTTCTTAGCTTGATTTATCAATTGATCAGTGTTGAATAAAGATCATAGTGGAGTAGATTTCCTTTCTAAGTTACTTCCTCCTGTATATTGTACGCTAGTGCTTCTAGCATAAGTTTGTTCTACATGGCATCTGCTAGACTGCTCATATGGATGATGGACACCTTGATCTACATGTTGTAGAATCTATGTGAAAGGAAAATTGCGTTTTGAAGCAAATCCTTCGTCAAATGGCCCATTGCTCTATATTAGCAGTTGTTGACTTTGTAATGATTGGTGCAATTGATTACGAGTCTTTCAAACAGATTTTTTTATTATATTATGATTATGATTATGATTATGATTATGATTATTTAGTTGTACATTTCATAATGTAATCTAGATGACTGGTATACATCATCTGTACAGGTGAGCAACCATATGGATTTATAGGGTGCATCAACCTTTTAACGCGTATGCACATACACACCATGCACGTATAGAGGGATGGAAGGACGAAGGGAAAATTGCACCTTTCCGAGTCAAATCTTTACTGTTTGAATTTGATGTTGGGACATCTGTTTTTGTAATCCACACTAAAGTTGATTGCATACTTCAAAGTGTCTATAAAATTAAAAATCAAGCTTTTAAAACCTCTTTTGCCCACGCATCGATAAGACTAAAATGCACATCTTAGTTTAACAAAACAGGATAATTGAAGTCAACAAAAAGATTTGTTTCTAAGCTCTCAAGTGTTAAATCAAGTTTAAATGTTTAAATCTAAACTTTTTACACCCAAAAATGTCGATATAAGAATAATTATATTTTTCTAGGGTTCTTCTATGTTTGCTTGATGAACGGGCAAGAAAAATTTAAAGTGAATTTTGTTTTAAGGAACTTCAAGTGGATGCCCCAACGTCGAATTCCAAATCGATTTGGCTCCATTTTTCCTAGAGGATCCACACTTAAATGTATATGTATTCCTTTGTATATGTATACGAGCTTTTTACCTCTACTAGTAACAAAACCACACCAAGTTGCATCCTTGATTTGTATCATCTTTGTAAGAACTCTCCTAGAGTGGTTGATAAAGCAGTATGCGTCATCTCACAGTGAATGGATGCATACAACGTCGACTGCATCTCTTGTTGACAACTTCCCTTGCAGTTTATTGAACTGTAAATTGCCTGTAATTTCTCATGCCATTTGATTCTCTGCCAAGGTTTTAAATATCGGATGTCGGGTTCATGTCGGACGGCTGAAATCCATGTCGGATAGCGGAAATCGGGGATATATCGGGGGATATGGACTAAATATCGGATTGCCATATCGGGTGGGCGCATATGTACAATATCATGTCCTAAATGTAATCTAAGCATTCTTAAATTCAATATAAGCATACTTTATAAACTTTATAGACTAGACATATAAAAAAGTAAACAATATATGAGAAATGTAAAGAGCTAAAATGTAAACAATATTAGAGCTAAAAAAGTAAACAATATACGAGAAATCAGGGATTATTAAATGATAAACAAGGATTATTACAAGGATTACTAAAAATTAAGACATTGAATCTTTCATATTAATTAAACAAGATTAGAGCTAAAATGTAAAGAGCTAAAATGTAAAGATATAAAAAAATATTTATGCAAGCATTCCCATCATATTAATTAAACAATGATTATTACCGGAGTTGAATCTTTCATATTCCGAGGATTACTAAAAAAATCAAGTTAGAGCTAATTTTACTTTTAATCCAAAAGAATTATTTAATTACTTTTTGTCCACAATTTGCTCCAAGATACAAAAAGAAACTTATGATGATAATTTAGGAAAAGAAAGAAGAGTAAAAAGAAAAAAGGGAAAGTTAAAAACCACGATATATCGCTGAACCGATTTTCATAAATTTTGGCCGATTTTTCAAATAGGAAATAGCGGCCGATATATCCGGTTTTTCGCCGACATGACCGATATATCGCCCAAAAACGATATGCGACTTGTATTTCCCCGATTTGTGTCGCTCGACACCTTGATCCGCTATATCGGCCGACATGTCCGACATGTCGGCCGATATTTAAAACACTGTTCTCTGCAGTGTACAATTTATTAGTTATGTCAGTTTATAAGCAAAATTTACTTGATTATCTTTTAAGTGTATTCTGTGACATGTCCATCTCTTTGTATGTCCATCTTTACTCGATGGTTTATGCAGGCTGATTTTGACCCAATTAGATGGCTTGATCGGTCGTTGATTCGAGTATGTTCTAAATTTGGAGATTATCAGAAAGACAACCCATCTTCGTTCAGCTTATCACCTCGGCTTTCAATATTTCCTCAATTCATTTTCCATCTTAGGCGATCTCAGTTTGTCCAGGTATATATTATATATTCTGTAAGTTTTCAGATCGCAGCTGTACTGTATTCTTTTCATCCTATGTACTTCCTGGTTTCATTTTCTTCTTTATTCAGTTTAATCCTATTGCTGCAGGTCTCTAATAACAGTCCAGATGAGACTGCCTATTATAGAATGATGTTGAACAGAGAGAATGTGGCTAACTCAGTCGTGATGATCCAACCTTTACTCATATCCTATTCCTTACAGTCAGCGCCGGAGCCAGTTCTTTTGGATGTTACTGCAATTGCTGCTGATAGGATACTGCTTTTGGATTCTTATTTTACGGTAGTTGTTTTTCATGGATTAACAATTGCACAATGGAGAAACCATGGCTACCAAAATGAAGCTGAGCACCAGGTAGTTGTTTGCATTTCTCCAGAGTATTTCTTGCAAAAGTGATATAGATTCCACTGTCCACTAGTTTCCATTAATTTTAATCTTTCTTTCAACCATTGGTAGTTTGTTTGTCTCTGAATTTCAGACTTCTTCTTACATGACTTTTTTAGCGCATGCTGGACATGACATGAATTCTAAGAGATTAATAATGAGTAGTTAGCATGTGGAAGCCAAATTGGTAAATATGTGAGCTTAAAACTTGAGACGACAGCAAATGTTACTTTTTGCCTTTATTATCAGAATACACTTAAATAGCCTTCTGAATTGTAAATAACCAAAACGGGATTGTTGATTTTCTCTTTATTAGAGACATCGTGATGGTTATTTTGATTGAATTCTTCTTGAGTTCTTTATGCCGTGTGCTTTTAAAAGTTCAATAACTTTTTTGTTAAATGAGATTCTTCGGGCAGGTCTATACTTGTCAGAATGTCTGATATGCATGTAGTATATATGGCACCTGACCACTTGTATAACATTACATGTATAAATATGATTAGCATTCATCATTGTTACAGAGGTGCACAGATACACTTGTATAACTTTATACGTATGAATATGATTAGCAATCGTCATTGCTACAGAGGTGCACAGATACACCAGCAAACACCCTCTTTCTTATGTCTTGAAATCTGCCGTGTTGGAGATGTTTGACGTGTATGTGTCTTCATGTGGCATTCTTGTAGGTAACTGTTTTAATCACAAAATGGAAGTGAGATTGTTATGCACAACACCAAGTCTAATTGGGAGATGATAATATTTGACTCTAACACTTACTGTTTTGTGCTTCCTGTTGATATTCTGTTGCGGAATGCACTCTGCTTAACCTAGTTTCTTAATAACTGTTCAGATTATTATTATTTATTGTGGGAACATGATTTGAATTGGTTTCTAGCCAACGCAAAGTTCTTTCCTTTGATGAATCTGGACTTTGTCATTACTCTATTATACATCTGTCTGCTGTTCTTTGTGTTTTCTTTCTCTCTCTTAAATGGGTATCTTCCCTTATTAACAGGAACAGTTTGCATATTTCATATTTATCAAAATAATATATTCTTGCAGGCTTTTGCTCAGTTTCTGCAAGCCCCTAGAGATGATGCTGATGTCATAATTAAGGAACGATTTCCAGTTCCTCGTTTAGTCATTTGTGATCAATATGGTTCTCAGGTAATTTTGACTGTGCTCCGTAAGAATCCTTTTACTACCCCAGATGGTACTTTCCATAAACTTTTTAGTGTAGTATCTTTTATCAAACACATATCCTTATGGTCAACGTTCAGAATTGTTTTCTTAATGTACTAACTTTTTGTGTACTCTGATTAATGTGGGCGTTATGTATGTTTTATCCTGTATCATCACTTTATATTGTAGGCTTTACATATGTTTGATCCTATATGTAATTGCTGACTAAGCAAGCTCTGTGCTTTGATTTCCTGATTGCATAATGTAGATTGCATATGCTGTAATGACATTAAGAGTATTTTGTTAGTGGTATTAGCTGAAAAGTTGTATAGGGGATCTAAGATGACCGATACACGCCTGCATACAAATATTTAAGCATCTGCTTCCCTTCAGTTTGTTACCTTGTGTTGTATCTTGGAGATGAATGCTCTGGCTATATTACAGATTTTCACATACTCTTTTGGAAAATTTAGTGGGCTTTCTTCCTGGTAGCATACGAACTTTAGTATTTGCCCTATCCAAACTACCTTCGATCATATATGCTTCCCCAGCTTAAATTTTCTAGCTAAATTGGCTTTCTGGGTTTTAAGGTATGACCACACAATTGCCAATCCATGAATTTGAAACCTGGTCATCTATCAGGAGAAAATTACGTAACGAGTATGATCATTTCTTCCAAGTAGCTTTCGTAACCACAGTCTTGCTCCAAATACTGGACACGTTATTCAGTAAGAACTATTGCATGGATGATGCAAGATGTTTCATTTCAAGTCAGGGCTCCATCACATGAATCACCACCAGGCCATTTCTTTTGGAGAACAACGGGTTGCGATCAGTGGAAATTACTTATCTGGACATCAATTAGAAAAGGTCAAAAGATCAAATAATATGTATAGATCATTTTGCTACACATCAAAGATCCATGTGAACAAAATCATAAGGATATAGAACTTATTTCCTGTACATCAAACATTGATGAAAAATGGACAATCTTAAAGATTGCATTATGGGCATACAGAGCAGGATCTTTTTCATGCCGGGATAAGGAAGCTCTAAAACTAATTCATCTCTTCACATAAATTTTAAAACTTTTTGATCAAGATGGAGTGCATGGTTACCCATGGCGAACTTTCTTGAAATATGGTTTCTAATTACCACCAGAAAATCTCATCACCTTCTTTATAAAGACTTTTTGATGATATAGGAATTTTACGGTTTGGTGTTTGATGGCATGAACTTTTGACCTGCATGACCAGTGAGGTACTCGACACAGATTTTTATGGTCTTACTGGCAAGAGGTTTTAGCAGTTCATTGATGATGTCAAGCATATTTTTCTTAATATTTTAGTTGTTGATTCCTATAAAATGAATCTATATTTATTTTAGTTCTACATTTTTCCTTACAGTTATCATAATATGTACATTATTATTTTAGTTGTATCTTAAAATCTGTCAAATTATCTTTTTATTATTCATTAACCATTTTATATCTGAAATCTGTGACCAGGCACGTTTTCTTCTGGCAAAATTGAACCCTTCAGTTACTTACAACTCTGACTATCCTCCACCTGGAGGAGACATCATTTTCACTGATGATGTTAGCTTCCATGTGTTCCTCGATCATCTTCAGAGATTGGCGGTTCAATAATATAAAAAATATAAAAGGTTTGTGACATTTCCTATGTGAACTTCGCAACAGCATAGCTCTCTCATTCTTCAGGATCATGTACAGTCTGCAATCTGCATAAATTCAATTTCCTTTCCACTTAGATAGCAGATATTTGAACTTCTCTTTGTATTTGTTACTTCATATGGGGCAGAAATGTACCCACATAATCCTTGGTGCACTTGGACATTGAGATATTAGAACTGTATAATTCCAATCTAAATAGTTTGGAAAGCTTTTTCATTTTGTATAAAAGGTATGCAGAAATAGAAGAGAAATGTAGGCTTGCATTGGCATTTACAGAATCATTGGTGCTGTCTGTTGGCACATGCGTGTCTTCCTTGAGTAAAAGTTTTCCTGTCATCGGTACAATTTTGAGAAATATTGCGGTATTGTGTTTGTTATTTTCCTTATTTGTTTTTTATCAAATCAGTATAATGCTGAGAAACACTGCTTTCATGTTGCTGTGGGTTTTCTTGTTTGTTTATTTGACAGGAAAGATTAAGGTGGCACGTATGCGAAAAGTGAGTGATTTTAGGTTGTAAATTTCTTGTATGTTGGCAGTGTTGGAGCTAGAATTTTGTCCTAGTGAGGTTTCCATATAGTTTAACATGGTCCCACTGGGTTCTCTGTATCTAGGTCACTGTAGATTGATGCTCCGTTCTATTGCTTTCCTTTTCCTTTTTTTTTCATTTGCCATCATCTGTTTTAGGCGATTCATTTGAATCATTTCCTTTTTCTGTTTTGCATTCTACTAGTGCTTTAAACTCCTCTTCTCAATTTCATGTATTTTGGTGGAGTGATGGTCATGTTCAACAATTTTCTCAATATTTATGTGATCCACTCCAACCTTAATATGATGTAATGATGGTAACACTTTTGCAGATTATTGATATTGTCACCAACTGTTGCTTCATTTGATTCCAATGTTTAGGCAAAGACTTGAGCATGGCCTAGCACTATTTGCTCATCCCTTCAGCAGATGGGTAACCATTCTGAAGCTAAAAATGTATGCTTAATTATATTCTGAACTTTTGATGAATACCGTGATTCATATTCTCTCTCTTTTAATTATCTAATGTAGTGGCAATACAGGTATATTTATAGAAAACTCAATTCCTAAGGGGAAACGGTTTTTTTTGGGGTGTTTTTTGTGTTTTTTTGTGAGCATTTTGGATTAGAGTTGTGTTGTTTGGTTCATATATAAATCATGATGAAAAATAGAAACCTCAATTTCACTTGTTTGGTTGGTGGCTAAAAAAATAAGAAAATCATACGATAATAATAACAACAAAGCATTTATCCTAAATGTTCGGGGACAACTATATGAATATTATTCTTTCATTGCATTTTGTTATGAGTCATTTCCTTTATTAAATTAAACATTATTATTTCCTTCTTAATTGCTTCTAATCAAGTTCTTTGAGGTCTACTTCTAGATCTCTTCTATTAACTACAATATTTTCACTTTTCTTAACCGGTGCAGTAAGAGATCTTTATTGTACATGGCTATACCATTATAGTCTATTCTCTCTCATTTTTTCTTAAATTGGGTCAAGCCTCTAATTTATCATGAGTATACTCGTTTTTTATCCTATCTTTTAGTATAAACTCACAAAATTATTTTAACATTCTTATTTCTGATATGCTCATCTTTTCCCCATGTTTTTTCTTAAAATAGGAAATCATACTTATAACAAATAGTTTGTGAAGTGCTCAAAAGCCACCTCATCCCTTTTGATATTCTATTCTCCTTTATTCAATTTCCAATCTAATTTTGAGCTTAGACTCGAAAATATATTTTTTTGTGAGGTGACATGACGTTTGAAGAGAACATTTCTTAAAACATGCTTTGCAACAAACAATAAAAACTTTTTTTATTTGAAAATTTTGATGTAGTTTTTCCTAGAACTGGTTTTTAGGGGTTTTTTTTTTTTTTTTTCGGTCGAACCAAAAAACGTGTCGAGTAACATTGTACCATATAGATCAAACCTTGCAACCAAAAAGCGTGTTGAGTAACATTGTACCATATAGATCAAACCTTGCAACTGGATTCGCACGACTATGAAAGAGAAAAGATCCTCTACAATCCTAGGATGTAGAGGATGAAAATATATAGTAGAAGCTACATAATGATTAGTTGCAAACGAAAACCACGCAGAGAACTAATTTTCACACAAATTAACAACTGCGAACATTCATTGACAACAATAACAAAATTTGTATTTTCAGCTTATCAAAAATTTCACATTACACTATCATTGATGAGTTGGGTTACCGATCACCAACAATGAAAAGTACTTTTCTTCAGTACACGACATCAAAGAACTCAACAAGCGAACATCAAACAAAATCAAGAAGCTAGCTACGTACCAAACAGAAAAAAAGGAAAGAAATAAACACCGACTCAATTTAACTAAATTAACCTGACAAAAACCAAGACAACAATTCGCCAGAGTAAACATCATAATTAAAGATAATTGATCGGCATCATGACTCAAGAATTACTCGCTCTTTGATCTTTCTTGTTCCTCTTCTCCGTCACAGCATTTAGTTTGATTCTGCAAATAGCCCACTCCTCAAACTGCACCCAGAGAATATAAGTGTTTACGTCCACGATCAGTAACAAACAAATCAAGAAAATCAAGAAACTAGTTAATGAAATTAATCAAGGAGCAGCGTGCAATATATAGTACGTACCTCCTCTTGGTCATCGTGAGGCTTATGATCAGCAAGCGTATACTCCTTCATCACCCAGTTGGAGGACACTTTCTCACCGTCTCTGATGTAGCAGAGCTGAGCCACGTGACCCACCACCCGACGCTCGCCGGTAACTTGATCCTTAACGGTCACGTGCCTCTCCGA